GGAGGTTTTAATTAGTGTTTTTTTTTTTTTTTTGCTTTTTTTGTACCAGGGATCGAACTCAGGCCTTTGTGCTTTCGAGGCAGGCGGTGGAACCACTGAGCCAAATCCCCTGCCCTAGCAATAGAGGGTTTAAATACAACATAGCTACTGACTGATGTTTCTAATGAAGATTTTGTGGGTTTTTCTTCCAGACAGGGTCTGGCTACATAGTCCATACTGGCCTTGAACTCACAGGTCTCCTTCTTTGGCCTCCTTGGTGCTGGGATTACAGGCATGGGCCACCACACCCAGCTTCAGTATATTTTTTTTCCCTGGAAAACAGAAATCAGCCTATCGTTTTAATTGACATAACAACTTGAATTACATAACAACAAACATTTAAGTACCAATCCAGAAAAAATTTGTTTTAATAGAATTATTTTTCTTATTTTCTTAGATGATAAAGATTGGGAAGCCAAGGTCTTTCTCCGTTTCTACAAAATAATCTCATTGATCAGTTCCAGAGACAACCTGGGACAAAAGACATGAGCTTCTTATCTCCAAGAACATAAACAGTACATGTCTCAGGTGACCTCACTCAGGGGTGGCAGCAAGGGGAAGACAGAACAGCACATAAAGCCTGCACACCTCTGTTGACACAGTGACTGGCGGCCCAGCCCGTGCCACCCTTGGCTGATTAGCAGCCAGGACATGAGGCTATGGTCTCCTAAAATAATACCTCAACACTACTTTTAGAAAGAAGACCTTAGGTCCTAAGCCTGTTGATATTCTAAGGAGTAAAAGTTCATAAGAAAAAATCAAGAGGAAAAATCATAGCTAAAATAGAAATTACAACTGTGAGAGTCGTTTCTAAAACAAGATAAAGAAGCATAGGGAGACTACTGTACCTCTCAATTTCCTTAGCAACAACCCAAATAAGGGATAAAAGGCAGCTCAATCAGGTTAGCCTGTAATCTGACCTGAGGACAAATGAAAAGGTATATTAGTCTTTTTAACAAATGAAACTCTAACAGAAGATAATAATCACAGCTGAGGATATGAATGACCAACGCCCTCGGACTCAGAGTAAGAGCTTGTCCACCGGCCATGGAGACAGCCTCGTCAGCAAAGGCCTCTGCGAGTCTCAGGATTTCCTGCTTAGGGTGGTTGCAGCAAAGTCTATGCACATGAACTGTATTTTCGAAACCAAAAGCTCCTTCTATAGGACAATCACATACACGAGCTGTGGCTCAGTCCCGACGCAGGACCAGCTCCCAGGGAAGGAGAGCCAAAGTCTTGACACAGACAATGTTGCCGGGTTCTGGGGTGCTGCTGTCTCCTCCTAGAGGTGGTCTCTAGGTTCTTTCTGTCCTGCACAAAGAATTGGTCGGAACAAGTGCAAATGGTAGCGAGGTTTTATATTTATTAAAGGTAGGAAAAGAAACAGGAGGGAGTTTGGGCCAAGAAAAAGTAGGGAGAAAGGTACACTCTACAGCATGAGAATGGACTACCGTAGCCCTGGGCTCAGTGGCAACCGTCTTTTTGTATCTCCCTCTTCTCAGGGAGGTCTAGGCCATACTACCCTAACCTGCTAAATTCTCATGAGCAGTCCATGTGCAGGGCTTTGGAAACTGTTCTGCCCCTGTGTGCTGGAACTTTATAATTAACAGATCCCCCCACCTCCCCAGCCAGTCTGCTATGCCCTAATCTCCTCCCTCACCAACACAGCACCACTGAGTGACCACTCTCCCAACAAAACCTGTTTGCCTTTCAACTCAGTTGAACTTCTCCACTAGTTTCTAAAGTTCCTAAAATTCTGTAGGATAATTTGGGATTCAAGATCACATTCTTGGAATTTTTTATTGCTTTAAAACTCAAACATTTTACCTTCATACATTTACTCTGAAAATGTTTGAAGGAATAAATATGCATAAAGATATAGCTATAAGAATATTCATTAGGGCTGGGGATTTAGCTCAGTGGTTCCACCACCTGCCTTGCAAGCAAAAGGACCCAAGTTCAATCCCCAGTACCAAAAAAAAAAAA